TTCTGAATAATCGATTATCCTTAACTGATAATCGACTATTGTAGTCTGCAGATTCTTCTCCAAAGTACAAAACTTCTCATAATCGATTTTCAATAATTTGATAATCGATTATCATCATCCTCAGGAAGTATCCAGTTCCGCGTAAATCCTTGTAAATCGATTGTCTTGTATAGTCAATCGACTTTTGGGTTCCTCAGAACATTACCAGTTCTGTATCAGATCCTATTAATCGATTTACTGAGCTTGTTAATCGATTATCTCCCACTTCCAAATCCTGAGTGAATCATTCCCTGTGTTTGAGTACAACATTTGGTATCAGAGCTTGTTGTTAACATCTCTAAAGGACCAAACACACGTTCCTCACCTTTTCCTAAACCTTTCTTGATACTTCATCCCAAATACATCACACAAAGTCAACAAATCAGCCCAACCAAACACCATGTCAAATACCACCCAAAACATGACCCATGAAGAACTTGTAGCTTCAAATGCAGCCCTGCAAGCTCAAGTTGATTATCTAGCCAAGCAAATAGCCCAGCTCACTAAACAAAAACTAGCTATGTTGCAATCCAGTGATGATGAAGAAGACGCTAGTTCCAGCGCCACCATAAGAACTAAAGCTCAAGATAAGTCCGGTTCTGATTTCAAATTGGATATTCCCATCTTTGAAGGAAAGAATGACCCGGATGAGTTCCTAGAATGGCAGGAAACAGTAGAAAGAGTATTTGATTTCAAAGAAGTATCCGACGAGAAAAAGGTCAAGCTTGTAGCCTTGAAGTTTCGGAAATATGCATCTACCTGGTGGTCCAACATAAAAACCAAGAGGAGTCGAGATGAGAAACCCCCGGTTGATACCTGGCAAAAGATGAAGACTCTCTTGAAGAAGAAGTTCCTACCTACTGAGTACGTACGTGAGAATTTTGCTAGGCTTCAAACGCTTAGACAAGGTTCAAAATCTGTTGAGGATTACACCAGAGAATTTGAAGAACTCTTGCTAAGGTGCAATCTGCAGGAGAATGAAGAACAAACCTTCATAAGGTATCTTTTTGGCTTAAATACTCAAATAGCCAACACGGTTGAATTACAAGGTTTCAACACTTTCGAAGAGCTCACTAAATTAGCTCTTAAAGTGGAATCTCAAATCAGGAAATCCAAAGCCATTTTCTCCCGAACCACTTCCTTTTACTCAAAACCATCTTACACTCCACCAAAATCCACCTCTACTACCCAGGGTCTGCCCCAAAATTCCAAAACCACACCTCCTTCCAAATCATCTTCCAACCGTTTTACACCTAAAACAGCCCCTCCAACCAACAAAAGAGCTCCCATTTGTTACCGTTGTCAGGGTACCGGTCACTATGCCAATGAGTGCCCGAACAAAAAAGTGATGGCCCTTGTTGAATATGATGATGAAGACTTTGACCACTCTTTGGTTGAAGAGGAGAAATCCGAAGAAGAAGAAGAATGTGTTGGCCCAGATGACGGCGAACTTTTGGTCATCCGAAGGACCTTAAGTGCCATTCCCTGCCCCGAAGAACAACTACAACGAGAGAACATATTTCACACTCGTTGTACAATCCAAAAGAAGGTATGCTCCCTAATCATTGATAGTGGGAGTTGTTCTAATGTTGCTGCCAAGACCATGGTGGAAAAGCTTAACTTAAGCTTGTTTCCTCATCCTAAACCTTACACGATTCAATGGTTGAATCAAGGTAAAGGTTTACGAGTTGATAC